TTTTATACACAGAGGTGGGGAAAAGCAGTCGTAGTTTACCCTAACCTCAAACTCCTGGCCCCAAGTAGTCCTCTCACCTCAGCCTCCTGAGTAGCTAGGACTATAGGCTCATGCCACCATGCCTGGCTAATTTATTATTATTTGTAGAGACAAGGCCTCACTATGTTGCCCAGGCTGATCTCAAATTCCTGGTCTTGAGCAATCTTCTAACCTCAGCTTCCCAAAGCACTGAGATTAGAGGTATGAGCTACCTACCACACCTAGCCCTAATTTATTTATTAGTGATACAGTGAATCAAACTCTGATTTTCTTTTATATAATAAAATCACAATGTATAGCAAGACAGTACTATTTTTGAATAAGGAAACAATTAAAGGACCCAGAGCAGGGTCCTCCGGTCTATCTCTGCTCTGTGGTGTGGGCACAGAGCGGAGAGAGATCGGCGGACCTTGCTTTGGAGGTCTGAGTGACACGGCCACAAGTCAAGAACTGTGGCCGCCACCAGGGTCTGGAAGGGGCAAGCAAGGATGACCCCCGAGAGCCTCCCTCCCTCAGGCTCCGGTTTCAGCCCCGTGGTTCTGATTTTGGACTTCGGCCTGCAGAACCACGGCGGGATAAATTTCCAAGTCAACCGCGTTTGTGGCAACTTGCTACGGCAGCCAGGGAGCACATGCATGCTCTGTGTGTGTGAGTTAAAATCCATCCCTGTCCTCCCACTGTTAAAACAATGACACAGCCCCTCAACACAGCCTACGGAATGGAGACGCGGGACTCATCACGACGCACCTGCACAGTTCGAGAGTCAAAGAGAGTGTTGACCACGCCCAGCCCTCGCCGCCCGTGGCCACGGTCTGCCCCCTGCCTTCATGCAGCACCGTGGTGGTCTCTGCAGCACTCTCACCCCGGTATCTCTTCCCACCCTCTTGTTGCACAACCTGCCCCAGCCACCCAGCTCACACCATCCCACCTGCAGATGGGGGGCCAGGAGCCTTCCCAACTGCTCTCAGTCAAATGCCGAGGTACCTGCATTCACAGGTACTTGCTCTGTCCTGGGAGCACAGGTCACAGTTAGCACAGGTGCTAAGTTTAGGTCCCTTTGTGCAACTAACATGTTTCTCTATCTCCCCGCGAGCTACAAGTCCCACGAGAGCAGCACCCGCATCTGTTAGAGGGTTCCTCCCTCACTGCCGTCCGTCCGTACTCCCCTCGCCAGCCTGGCGTGGGGCACTTCTCCGTGCGCAGGAGGAAATTGTGGCTATCAAGCAGCGGAGGGGAGGGAATGAGAGAGCCAAGGACAGAGAGGAAGAGGGGACGCATGGCTATGGGACGGCCCAGGCTTGGGCTTTCAGCTCAAAGCGATGGAGCTCTGGTTTGTGGCTCTCTGACTTCTAGAGGAAGACTGGCACTAAGCATCTCTGGTCTAAGGACCCTTTAGTACCTGTGTCCTCATAGCACCTGAAAATAGCCCCTGCAGAGTTCTGTGCCCACTGAAAGCACGTGGCCTTTGATATTTGTTGAATGAATAAATGGATGGATGGATAGATGGATGGATGAATGGAACTGATGGAATGATGGATGGATGGATGAATAAATAATGATTGGATAAATTGATGATGGATAAATAGATTAATTAGAAATACAGAAGAGTATAAGATTCTACAATAAAATATTTTTGAAGTTTTTGTGTTGTTTTTTTTTCATTTTTTTTCTTGGCGTTCAGAATGACACTAAATTAAATAGATCCTCAGACTTCAAATTCTACCTTTCTGTGCATACGCCTTAATATAATCCTATTTGTATTTAACTCTTTAATTCAGAGGAAACAAACCTTAATGGGCTTCCATCCTCCAGCCTGTTAGTTTAGGCAGAGTTTGAAGGTAAACGATAAAGCCAGCCTCCCTCTCCCCTCACCCCCGCTCACAGATACACATGCACCCCCCACCCCTAACTTGCTCCCTTCTTGATATTTTTTCCTCCCCTGGGAAGCCCCTGACCCCTGGAGAAGGGATCGCTGCACAGGGAAGCTTGTTCCCTGCAGGCCTGCTGGAGAACAGCACTCCCTAGGTGAGAGGTGGTGCTCTGCCACCAAGAAGCCCTGAACGTGCAAGCTCTTCGGGAAAGTGGCTGCCCCGGCAGGAGGCGGCAGAGGGTGCAGCCAGCTCAGCCCTGGCAGATGCAGGGACCACATCACTGCCACAGCCCCCCAGACCAGCAGCACAGCAGGTCTCTGAGCGTCCACTTCCCACCAGCATTCGCGAGAGAACATAACTGGAGAGGTACACGCAGGTGACAGTGGTGACAGGTGACCTACATGTGGCAACCTTTCGTGACTTCAAATTTAACAATCGCTTGGCTCTCTGCCCAGCTCCAACCTCCTCCCCACTAATTTTTCTTCTCCACCTACCCTCCATACACCCGCCCCTCTGGGGAAGTCAGGAGCACTGTGTTAAAACTCACCAGCAGGCTGGCACCACTGTGACCTAAGACAGGCTTCCAACAAAGGTTAGATCTTAACCATAAGACACCGGCTCTCTTCACACTTTGATATAAGGCCAGTCTCCAGAAGAGCCCGGGGCCCTGGGACAAGGTTGCTGGTAAAACTTTTTGTTTCATCTATAGCTCCAAGGTCCCAAGGGCATAGAAGGATAAGCAATGAAACTTTATTTTTGTTTTTTAAAAGATCTATCAGAGGGTGGGTTTGCTCTATGACTAGCCGTTTTCTGCTCATGAAATTTAAACACAGGTAGGGCACAAGGGCATTAGCCTGGTATTAAAATGTGCATTTTGGATTCCTATTCAAGGATTCCTATTGGGAAGGACAATTTGCTGAAACAGATAATTTAATATTTGATAATGATTATTTTTCAATCGGCCCTAAACAAACTGGGCACCCTTGAGATGTGTGTTGACTCCCGATTAAAATCCCTTAAAATATCATCCACGCTTGATTTCAAGCTGGTTGAGAACTTTCAGGTGGCTGGAGAGTCTTAGATGGGAGGTAACAGGAACACACTGGGAAAAGAACTCGAGCTGTCCCTGAGTTTATAAATTACATCTGCACCATGAAGTTCCATTCCATACAATTTGATGACATTAGGGGTGTTAATTTTTTCCTTGTTCTTTGTCATACTGTGAATAATGACCGAATCACCTGCCATGTGTTCAGTGCCCAGCTAATTGCCATATAAAGTCTCCACACATCACAAATTCTCTTTTGAACTCTCTGGCTGCGTTCTCCAAATTCAAAACACAAAGTATGTCACATGCTGTGCTTACAGTGTCATTTCACAAGCTGATTTTTTGGACACCTAGAAAACAGGCCGCCGCAGCAGAGAGTACCTCATTTAAGGACATTTTCAGCATTTCCACTTGAAAAAACTTCAAAAATTACCAGGGGAAATACAGTTCTCTTCAACACTGCTCAGTCTCATAAAGAAATCAGTGGCAGAACTAGGTACATAACTGAGAAAACACAACAGGTCATTTTTACAAAGCTGTGCTCTACCTTTCTTAATAAAACCTTGTTATTGCAGCATAAAAACAGAGAAGTCTATGCCTAGTTATGATGAAACCAAGTGACAACCAATAATAAAAAAAAAATGCCTGGTAGCAATATTCAAGTCAGCTGAGCTGCTGTTGCTGCGAATTTAGGGTTTATTTATTTTTTTTCTTTTGTAACCTCATGTCTGCCTGAGTTGGATTCATCAATTCACCAGCCTCTTCTTTGATTTCCTGTCTCATCGTAAATCCCGGAAGCTCTGGTCCTAGAGATTGTTCCAACTCATCATCAGGAGACCGAGCCCCTTGCTCAACAGCACTTGGGAGGCAGTAGGGTAGGGTGGGCATAAAACCCTCTCCCTCAATCGTGCCTGCACAAAAACCCAACAAGTGAGCTGTCTCAAGCTGTCACCAGAGGCAAGGCAAGGCAACCCCTGGTGATGCTGGGAGAACTCAGAGAAAGAGGGTTCGTGTAATTAAAAGATCCTGTGCGTGATAATCAGCTTTTTGAAGTTTCCAAGAGAGACCTCATATCCAAAGCCCCTCAGGGAAATACGGGCACAGGGTGTCTCTGGCCCAGGCTGGGGACCGCTGAGAAGCTCCACTGTCCTCCCAGTAGACTTCTGCCCAGGAAAGAGGAGCTTGGCGGCGGCGCGACCACACACAAATAAACAGCCCCCAACGAGAAGGAACTGGGGGTCCTCTGGCACCATCTCCTGCGCAAATCAAACAATTTCTCTTCGAGGAATGACCTGGCTGGGGGGGGCCTGGGGGAGTCTTCCCACCTTGCTCTTCCTGTGACAGGCGGGGACGTTGACACACGGGACAGGAGGAGGGTTGGGGAGCTCTGCCTTCAGTGGCAGGAGCCCCAGGCCCTGCGGGGATGCCCGGGGTCACAAGTGACAGCTCAGACTCCTCCTGCTTCCCGTGCCGCGGGCACCCGCGACGTGGGGCGAAAGCCCGGACCCGCCGCTCCAGAGCACCGTCTGTTCCGCGGCCTGGGAGGCTCCCGCTCGCGCCCGCCACTCCAGGACCCCTCGGAAATCGTCCCTGTGGTTTCCGAACAGCTCGGCGCCAGCAGGGAAAAGTCGTTTCCAGATTCCGGGAGGGAACCGTCCTGGTCGCCTTGACCAGCTTGCCCTGACAGCAAGCTCAGCGCCTCCCCCACCCCCCACTCCGGAGGCCGCCTCTCCCCTGGGGAGGTCTCCCCCCACGCCCCTCCCTTGATGACAAAATTTCCCTGAGGGAAACAGTGACGTTCCTCCTTGTCCCTCTGCAGCCTCACCTGGGACCCCCCCACACACACCAGGTCCTGCGGCCGAGGGCCCAGCAAGGACCGTGGCTGCCCCCCCGCGGGCGCGCGCGCGGCCTCACACACACAAACACAACACTTCACACACACACACACCACACACCAACACAAACACCACACAAAACACCACACATCACACCACAACTCCCAGCGAAGTTGGTCCCAGGCCCGGGGGCGGCGGCCTCCTCACCTTTGGAACAGGGCGGCCAGGCAGATGAGCACAGGAGACCAGTGGTGCCACAGCGTCCCCATCTCAGGCGCGCGTCCCGGGCCGGAGCGCAGGGCCTCTGCTCCCGGCGCCGTCCAGGCGAAGAAGGGAGGGTCCCAGCGCCCGAGGGCCGGAGCGCGGCTGGCTGGCGAGGGCGCGGCCGGCTAGGGGCCCGCGCAGCCCCGGCGCCCCGCGCCCTCCTCCCGCCGGCCATGGCCGGGTCCGGAGGCGACGGCCGCGCGGGCTCCTGAGGTGCTCTCCGGGGTGACGGGCTCGCGGGCACACCCCACCGGCCCCCTCGCCCCGAACAGGGTCCTTAAAATGTTTTTTTAATCCACGAGGGGTATTTCCTTTCCTGTTCACCGAAGCGAAGCGAAGCGCGGCCCCAGGGGCCAGCACGGGGCGCCTCCGGGCGCGGGGCTGAGGCGGGCGCGGAGCTGAGGCGGACGCGGAGCTGAGGCGGGCGGCGGGCGGCCGGGCCGGCTAGCTGAGGCGGGGCGGCGGCGGCGGCGGGGCTGCGGCGCCCGGGCGCGGCAGAGGCTGTGAGGAGGCCCCGGGCGGTGGCCGGGCGCGCGGAGCGGCCCGGGCGGCCCGGCTCGCAGCCCCCATGCCGGCCGGCGCTGCGCCCCGGGGCTCGCGCGCGCGCGCCGGGCCCAAGATTTGGCGGGTGCCGCTGCTCCCGGCCCGCCGGCCCGGGCCCGGCTCGGGCTCGCGGGGCTCTACGCGCGCAGAGCGCACGGCCGGCTCCGGAGACGCGGGGCTCCCCCCTGCGCCCGGGGGAGGCGGGCCAGATGTGCGCGGGGGAGGACCCGGCGGCTCGGGGACGCGGCGGGCCGCCGCAGCTGCAGCCTGCCAGCCGGCGCGGGGGCCCCGCTCGGCGGCGAGGACCGCATCCGGAGCGCAGGCGCCCGCCACAGTGCCCGGAGCGGGCTTGGGCTTTTGCCTTAAAAATTTGTCCGTTTTCAAAAAGCCCCACCCTTTCGGAGTGACAGCTGCGAGCCCCAATCCGCAAAGTAAATCCCACCTCCCCCTGGTCCGCCGGCTCCCAGCCTCCCCGCCGCCCCTCCCCGCGCGTGCGGGCGGGAGGGGACCATGGGGGCGGGCGAGTGCAGGGCCAGCGCGGAGGAGCCGGGAGCAGGGAGCCGCCTACTCTCCCAACAGGTGTCAGGGCGGCCACCGGCCTCCCTCTCCCCTCAGAACCTCGGGCTGAGGCAGGTCCTCCGGCCTGGGGTGGGGAGGTCTAATGCGCTTGGCCAGGCTGGGAGCGCACAGACCGCACGAGCGGGCATCGTCCAATGATCTGAGCGCGCAGGAGCCTCTCACTTGCCACCCTGAGGTCCTGCTGGCCCCAGGCCCCGCCCTGGAATGAACCCAACCCCCACCCTCACCCCCACCCCTCCAGGTTACTGTCCCTGGAAGAATTTCATTATCTGGACTCCCCAGCAGCGGGCCCAGTGGGACAGAGACAGCATTGCCTTGGGAAGACAGAAGACAAGATTATTCATGTCCACCTTCCTGAATCTCTCATCGAAACACCGCCCCCCCCCAAACCAAGATCACTCAGCACCAACCTGTGGTTTCTAGCCCAGGGACTGCTCTGCTCCCTAGGAGTCTCTGAATTAATCATATCCAAAATCAGAGCGAGGGAAACCACGCTGAATTTTTAAGCGATATCGTAAACCAACCACCGCCAAATCGAAGGAGGTGAATTGACCTCCGTGGGTAAAATTGGGTTATTACAATGTGGCTACGGGAGCAATAGATGTTTTGCTCCATGTGCCTGCAGTGGCAAACATATACCAAAGCTGTAAGAGTTTTTAGCTTTCAAAGTTTCAAGGAAGATCAGGAAAAAAAAAAAGCCCACTGCTGTTCTATAGAAGATGGTCTTTCTGGGCTCACTGTCTTTGAGATGTGCAGGTCTTTATTCTATGTTTACTTTGCTGAGTGTCTGTCTTTCTGATTTTCTTTTGTTTATTTCTTAAATTTTCTGCCTATTCTCTTTGTATCTCTCTCTCCTACATAATTCCTAAGAACTGCAGAGAACCTGAAAGGTCATGCATTTCACTGTTTCTGAAATTTGAGCCAGAGTACGCAGAACCGGGACAGCTCGTCCAAACCTGGGCCCATCCCCAGAGCTGATTCAGCAGGTGTCTGCGGACCTGAGGTCTAAATTCCCAAAAAATTCCAGGTGACATTGATGCTGCCTGGTGGTGGGACACACGCTGGGGCCGCTGGTGTCCTCCCTCCTTCATGACCGGGAAACCGAGGTTTCCTCCCTCGAACACCCTCCCCTGGCCTCTGAGGGCCAGAGCCGGTCTGCACGAGAAGCCTCCTCAATGTCCCTTCCTTAACTCCACACTTCCATTCTAATGTGCAGCTGAGGCTCTATTTAAAAGACTTCCCAGATTTACTGGCTATAAATGAATAGTCCTTGTTCTTCATTACAAACAAGCATTTTATATTTTTCTAAACCAAAGTGAGTCTTTTCCCTGAATTGCAATCATCAGATACCTTTGTGTGTGTGTGTGTGTGTGTGTGTGTGTGATTACAAAAGATTTTTCTATCTGCATCCTTAAGATAAAAGGTGATTGACAAATTCTAGCTGCTGCCTAAACTGTGAAAGCTGTTGCTTCATTATGCATGGTTGGGTAGACGAAAGTTTTCTCTGCTGTTTGGTGTGGAAGCTTTCTTGGGAAGCTGCAACTCCAGATGCCTTACCGGTGGCTAAAATAAGATGTAAGAATGGCTTCTCACTCTCTTTCTCTCTCACCAGTACGCTGTTCTCAAGAACACGTCTAGTCTTCTTTGGGTAATTATCACGGCTAACTGTGGGGGAAGGAGTATCGGAGGACTGGGAGATGTCTGCTGAGGCCTTAGCTCCGGCCCGCGCCTCTGGGGTGACTTCCCGTCAGAGCCACCTGCCTTTCCTCTCTCAAATTGATTGTAAGAAATCTGCCTCTCTCCACGAGCATGAGTTCCATCCGCAGGGCCATAAATCAATTTGTAAGCCTGATTTTGTCGGTAATTAAATAGCGCTAATTGTTCGTGCTGTGTGGAGGAGGCTTTTACACCAGGCAGTTTCTGTTGTTGGTCTCCAATAAAACAAAAACGTTCCCTGTGGCGGCTTCAAGAGAAACCAACTTTGTTTGGGAGCGGATCCAGGGAGAAAGGAGCCTGTGTCCCTGCCGGAATTCACGTATGTTAAGGCGTTTGCCATGGAAGCATTGGAGGATGCTATTAGGCGCTACAAAGATGGAACGTCCTGTAAAACCAAGCCCGTTCTCTTCCAGTCTTTCTGGTCATCTTTAGAAAAAAGGCTCAGGCCTGACCCACTCTGGAACCACCTTTTTTAACAATTGCAAATGTCCACGTTTTCAAAACACAGAAAACACATATTTCTGTGCAGAGTGGCAAAGTCCAGCTAGAGGTTATTAACGTTGCTCCGCTTTTCCTTTGATTATTAATATTTTTGCTTTCTCACTCTCCCTTTGGTGGTGTGTTCCTTTTTAAATCAAGTTACGTATGTTCTGGAAGAAGGGAGACTTAGAAGTGGCTTGGTGATCAATACCGATGCAGCTGCACGCGCCATCTTCTCTCCACGACGACTCTGGTGAAGATGGCGAGAAATGAAGTTTGGGCAACGTCGTCAGGGTGAAACGAGAGCCCTTTCGACACTCTCTTTCTTCCCAGTTTTCCAAAATATGAGAAGTGGCCGGGGAATAGAAAGGCCTGATCCGATCAATCATCTCCACAGGCAGAGAGGCCAAAATCCCAGACTACCTGAGGTCCCCAGGTAACGCCTGGCATCTCCAGGTGACCGCCAGGTGAACCCAGAGGAACAGCCTCTTCTGCGGCCATTGGTAGGGCAGTGCTAGCGCTGCACCTGCCTTGCGTCACTGACGTATGGATCGATACACACAGGTCAGCAGGCCTTCAGTGGTCTTCTCTGAGGTTCTATCCCATCCCTCCCGGAAGCCCCCTGCCTCCTGCCCCCCCACTGTGTGTGCCAGGGAAGGGCTGTGCTGACAATTACACACCCAGAGTGGGGACAGCAGCCTCCCAGGAACAGCTCGAACCTGGACAGCCGTGACGTGCCAGCGCCATGGTTTGACCAGCCCCCTGCCCGTTTCCACTCTCCTCTCTGATTTTCCATCTCGCTCTTCTGGTTTGAGAACACCTCTCTCCACGCCCCGTCTAGCAAGTGTCCACTGTGCAGCTCCTGAACACGCCCCGAGCCGGGCTGCTGTTGGGCTCTGGGGCCAAGGAGAAGGTGGGCGGTGGGGTCGGCCGACGCTGGAGTCCAGGCCAGACTTGGGATCCGTTCGACGGCGCGGCGTTGGCCGTGAGCCGCTGGGCCAGCTCAGTCTGGAGCGCCCGCCGCTGCAAAGACTGACAGCGGGTACTTTGCAGGCTGTTCGCAGGAGGTGGCCTTGCCTCTGGGGGGGGGAGGGCTTGGCTGTCCGCATGCAGTAAGGAAGACCGGGGTGGGGGTGGGGGTCCATCGGTCGGAGATCAGCCTCCCCGGGAGCAGATTCAGTCCCCCGTCCCCTCTCCAAGAGGACTTGGCCAACAAACAAAACAGAAAACTGGCATTTCTATGTGTCCCATAATGAGTCCATCATTGGACATGTGTCGAAAGGATCAATTTGCTTCTCTGAGTGTCCAGAGGGTTTGATTTCTTTTGTCCGGTAAAAATCAATGTCCCTAATGGACTTGAAGTGCCGGGTTATTAGATGACAGAGGGCCCTGTGGGATTGAATTAACCCATTGCGTAGATCTGCAGATCAGATGCACATATCCCGGTATTGTTATTGAAGAAAATAGCTCCCCTAGCCCGTCCACACACACACAAAAAAGCATTATGAAATGGATACACGAGCAGTTAATCCTGCCCTAGAGCAGTTCTTAGTGGCCAACAAGGGAAAGGCTTTCTCCGGCAATTTGTTGAGTTTGCCAACATCAAAGAGAATGTAAACATGCGAGATGTTGTTGCTCGTCCATGTATACCAGCTTCAAAGCCGAAATCCGAGGATATTGTCAATGG